GACCATGGCCTTCAGAAGACCCAGGGTACCCTCTGCAGTGGCATTTATGCTGTAAGTTTACTTTCTGATAAACTTTTTGATTTGAAGAAGTCAAACCCGGATGATGACATGGTCAGTGAATTACTCACAATATCAGAGGATGCCACTTTCCATCTCTCTCACGCCTCCTTTTTGATGTCCAACTCACGAAGAGAACATTAAAAACATCTATTTCAAGGGGACTACAAAGAACTCTGTGAAAAATCACAAGAGGTCACAGATGAGCTTTTCGGATCAGAGCTTTCTAAAGCTTGTAAGGATATTACAGAAGCCTCACGGGCAACCACCAAGACGTTCAAAACAAACAAAAATTCCACTTCCTTTCGTTCACAGTCTAAAGATTCCTACCGACCACAAGCCAAAAATTCCTTTCGATCGTACAAAAAATTCAGTAGTCCAAAACAGTCAAAAAACTACTGATGGAACCTCTACCTAGCAGATCAGATTTATGGCCAGAATATTCAAATTCAAGTGGAAGACAAAACGGCTGTAGCTTACTTGAATCATATGGGAGGAACTCATTCAATGTCAATGAACTCCCTGGCAAAGGAAATTTGGGAATGGGCAATAGTGAGAAGAATTCACCTGACGGCAGTGCACATACATGTACCAGGAGTAGAGAACACGAATGCAGATTTTTTGAGTCGACATTTTATGGATCAAATGGAATGGCAATTAAATCAAACCCTAACTTACAAGATATTTCAACAACTTTTCCATCCACAAGTGGATTTGTTTGCAAGTCGTCTGAACTTCCAAATTCCATGTTATGTGTCATGGCAACAGATCCGTTGGCCTGGAAAACAGATGCTCTGTCAATTCCCTGGACAAACCTTAAAGCCTATGCTTTTCCACCAATCAATCTAATATCTGCTGTTCTTCAGAAGGTGATAAGGGACAATCCTCTATTAATACTGATAACTCCCTTTTGGAAAACTCAGCCGTGGTATCCACAGGTTCTTCATATGTCTTGCAGGAATCCAATTCTTCTCCCTGTGGTGAACAACATGTTAACACTACCGTACGACAGAGAACAGACACACCCGTTAGAGAAGACGCTCAAATTAATCGCGTGGACAGTGTGCGGAGACGTTACGTTACAAGAGGATTTTCGACGAAAACAGCAGAAATTCTCAGCAAAGCATGGAGAATTAAAACTAATAAACAGTACCAATCTGCATGGAAACTGTGGTTGGGCTGGTGTGGTAGCAGGAGTTGGGATCCCTTTCAAGTTTCTATAGTCGATGTTTTGGAATTTTTGTCTTGTGAATTTCAGAAAAACAAATCATATAGTGCAATTAATAGTTACCGTTCAACACTATCTACTACTATTTCACCAATTGATGGCTTTTCTGTTGGAAAGCACCCGACTGTTATTCAATTCATGAAAAGCGTATATAATTTAAAACCTACCGTACCTAAATATTCATGTGTGCGGGATGTTTCAGTTGTTCTGAAATTTCTTAATTCATTACCATGTAATGACAATTTGTAACTTAAGGATTTGACATATAAATTAGCTATTTTAATAGCTTTGGTGTCTACAGATAGGGGACAATCCATTGCCCTTTTGGATATTACATTTTTAAAGATTCTTCCATCAAAGGCAATTTTTGTGATTAACAAACTTACAAAAACCTCAAGGCCTGGTAAGCGAGCCAAACGTGTAGTATTACCAGCTTACACTAAGTGTAAGAAATTGTGTGTTATGTCAACTTTACAATGTTATATTGAACGAAATAAGGACTTTCGTAGTAGCTCAATATTATTTATCTCGATATTTAAACCTCGCAAACAAGTGACTTCAAGTACAATTGCCAGATGGATTAAGTCTATGTTGATTAGATCTGGGATAAGAGGATGTGGTGCTCATTCCACTTGAAGTGCATCTACTTCAGCAGCTTTAGACGCAGTGAAAGACATAATGAATGTGGCTGATTGGTCAAACGCATCGACCTTCAACAAGTTTTATAAAAAGATTACTGTGTCATCTGACATTTCCTTTGGAAAGGCGGTTTTAAAGTCCTCTTGTTAGGTAAGAATCAATTTTATAATTATATGTATACTTATACATGTTTAACTACTTTGAAGTCTGTATAGGAATACTCCCCCGGTCCAAATGTAGAACTTCAGTCAGCTGTTGCAGAGTCTGGGGATGCGATTGTCTTTGGCAAATCATGTCAATCCATTTTGTCCAATGCTGCTTTATTTGGATTAAATCTAGCGATTTAGATGACTGTTACTAAAACAGATTGTTGTTTCTTTGCAAGAATAGGTGTGTCAAACGAGCTATATGTGGCTGTGTATTGTGAGATTGCAATACGGCTATAGGATGCTGCAAAATTAAATGGGTATGTTTAGGTAGAACATGGTTAGAGTACCTTTTCCCATCAAAATCCATTGAATTTGAACAAAATCATTCTTACTTTCTTATAATACCGTTTTCCATATCAGTACACTACCATCACCAACTTTTTTAACGTCCTGGAGACAGTTATCTATCTAACCTTCATTAAAAAACATTAGCACTCTTAAACTTATAAGAGGCTTTCCGATAAACATTCGTGACTAGTAGGTTAACCAAAATCTTCAGCAGTGATGCTGTGGTCATACTCAATTCATTTGAGATCTTTTAAGTCGATATTTGGGGTGTTGTGGGGTCGGAACAATGGCATGAGTAATCCTCTTGCACTAATTCGTAGTCAACTGAAACGGTCTTGGGTGTTGTGGGGTCGGAACAATGGCATGAGTAATCCTCTTGCACTAATTCGTAGTCAACTGAAACGGTCTTGTTAGATGATCTGTGCAGTTCAGGGATAGCTTATGCTTTAGATGACGTCCTTGCATTACATTCATGCAATTTGCGTAATCCTCGGAAGTGATGCTGTGCTGCTGACGTCACACGTAGTCTTCCATATTTTTGCGAACATTCGGTGTTCGATGTTAATGGTTTATGTTTTATAGGTTAGATATGGTCTAGATGTAACATTAAAACCTCTTGCAATGCTGTGCCCCCGCTTCCAGTGGCCAATTTTCTTTTTTGTGCCACGCAACATTCAGATGTAGCAATCTTAAGAAGCGTCGGAACCCCCGCTTTTGATACCTCCTTTGTACCTGAAGGTATTGCATCGGAATTCAAGAAAAGAAAATTGAGATCAAAATATTGGGTGAAATTTTGCAAAATCGGACAATCGGGTTTATGCCACCTGATGAGTCGTAATATGAGAATAGTTTTGCGTATTTTTCATCTCGCATAATTGACTCAATTTCCATGAGAATGTCTGCAAGTTCAAAAAGCTCACTTCTGTTTGAGTTCTTCAAGGTAGGGAAAGCTGCGACTCTGTTCTTCAGTGATGATTCAAAGCTTTCTGGGCTTCCAAATCTTGAATCCAATCTTTCCCATATCAGACGCATGGCTCTAGGGGGGGGGGGGGGTCATGGGGGTTTGCTGAACGAATGCTGAGAGCCTGCTGCTTAGACTTCATTCCAAGGTTCTGGATCAAGAGGTCAAGTTTTTCCATAATAGAAGCACCAAGTTCATTCGTCACATTTTCAAATGTTGATTTCCAGACGAAGTAATGTTCTGGGACATCATCAAATGGAGTTAGTCTAGTTGGTATAAAAAGGATATGGAAATAACGAACAGTATTCAATCTCAACGTCCATTAAACAAATATACAAAATAAGAGCAGAGCAAACACGGACCTCCGAAACATCAGAGGTGGGATCAGGTGCCATGGAGGAGTGAGCATCCCCTGCCGACCGGTCACACCCGCCGTGTGCTCGTTGTCATAATCAGGAAACAACGGAAAAAATCCGTGGTCAATTCAGTGTATAAATAATGGACTAACAATTGGTATGAAAAACGTCAGTCAGCATTTCATTCAATGATAAATTGTATTTGCTGACAAGGTCATTGTATCGACCATGGAATTTACGAAATGATGACTTTAAACGAGACTGTTGATATTCTTGTTTCATCAACTTGCTTGTCAATAATTTACCTCGTTTAAGAAATTGTTCATACGTAGAGCATGCTCTTGCGTATCGAATCAACTGAGATATAAATACTCCGTATGCAGGTGATGAAGGTATATTGCTGCATAAGTAAGGGAAGTTGACGATAGAAAGTTAAAGTCATCACGTTTATCATATATCTTGGTTGTTAGATTACCATTAGTGTCTTTTTCAAGTAAAATATCCAAGTATGAAGCAGAAGTGTCGGACTCTGTGGTATCTTTTATCTCAAGCTCACCAGGATATATCGTGTTGACGTAGGAATGGAAATTATCATTATTAATTGAAAATAGGTCGTCGATATATCTAAATGTCGAGTTGAAGGCCACAGCAAGAGTTTTCTTCTTATCACGTAAAAGATTTTGCATAAATTCCGCTTCATATGAATATAAAAATAAGTCTGCTAATAACGGAGCGCAATTTGTACCCATGGGAATTCCAATAGATTGTTGGAATACCTGGTCTCCAAAAACCACGTAGATATTGTCAATCAGAAACTCAAGCATCTTCTTGATGTCAACTTCAGAGTACTTATGTGTACAATCAGAATCTGTTTTAACAAAATAATTTTTCAAATGACCAATGACGAGGTAAGTAAACTTACGAGTTCCATTTTTGTTGAAGAAGCAGCTGTCAATGATATCAAAAAGCCTGGATTTTAATTTGTCGTGGGGAATTGCTTCTTGGCTCATCAAATGGAGTTAGTCTAGTTGGTATAAGTTGCTTCTTGGCTAACAACTTAGCAAGTTCATTTGTTTCACTCGTAACACCTTTCTCATGTTGAACGGCAACAAACTCTGGAGCTGTTGGGTTCAGAGGTTTCTGTGTTTTTCCTTCTGGCATCTGGGAAATACATTCAACTTGATCTGAGCGTTCACTGACACACCTGTTCAGGTTCTCTTGGTCTTTCTGATGATTCACAATATTTGGTGTGTTCACTTCGCGTAAAATTCTTCATAAATTCTCTTGGCTTCTCTGTATAGTCACACTGATTTTGATATTTGGACTGCTCAGCGGTGTAAGAATTGTGTTTCATGCTGATCATCTTCACCTATGTCATTTTCACAGTGTGGTATGTAGCTTTCTCCAAGAGAGTCATATTCAAGACATTTCTTTATGGCCGTTAGACTTGATTGGGCTGCCTCGAGCTCTTTCTTGACTGAAAGCAGACACTGGGCTGCCTTGATCTCCGCTTCTTTTCTAAGCAGCTCCACTTCTTCCTCTGCATACTTTAATTTCATCCGTGCCTCTTCAACCTTTGCGGTGTGCTGCAATACTACCGATGTGAGATGTGAAGATAAGGATCCGTGACTGTATAGAGATTGAGACTTATCTGATCTTGTATCAGGTAATATAGAGTTCGATTGTTTTAACACTGCTGTCACCTTTTCGTGTAGTGAAGTAGCAATGATGGACCTGGACGCTTCCTCTCTCCTACTGGTTTCGTGGCGCTGATTTTGTAGAAATGTTGCATATTCCGCGGAGGCCTTTTCATATTGCAACATGTATTTGTTTAGGGAAACTTTGTAAGTCTTTGCACGATCAAAGTTCATAACTGGATTTTCTTCCATGTCCATTATAATGGAGTCAATGTCCCTTTTTATGTTACCCAATATGAAGACGTATCGGTTGACTCTTTCCTCAAACTGTTCCATGGCGGGTGATGTAATGTTACGGGATTGACTTAAAACCGGAGCATCTACCATGATGAGTCTCTGTCCAAGAAGTGGATATTTTTTATTGTGCTGTTATGCTTTATTCACATACCTCTCGGAAGAGTTTAAAAAAACCTCAAATAAATGACACACATTAAGACACAATTAAATTACAGGTTTCACAATAAAATATACTCAACATAAAAAGAAACGCATATTGTTTTACTCGTCAAAAAAACTTTTAAAATGTACATGGAACAACTATTTTTTATATTATTGGATACCTGTGACCTATTTAAAGGACAACATGGGGTTTTAAAACCCAAGTGTTGAATTATCTCCCTTGATCAAACATGTTTATGAAAGTAGTGTTTTTATGATTTTTTCTAAATCGGATATCTATTTTCGTTAATATTTTGGATTTAGAGAAACTATTAACACTCCTATTAAACCCATATATAAGATTTGATTGCAGTGTTGATGCTGCAATGCCACGCAGAAACAAAGATAAACACAACCAGGTTAACGATTATACTAAATGGAGGTACGCAGCAGGAAGTTGCAACTGTATTTGGAATAAATCAATGGGCTTTGCAACCGTTAAACTAACGTCTGAAGGACATTATCTGGCCATCCGCAGGTAACCACAACCAGGCAGGACCGTCAGACACCCCCCCCCCCCCCAGCACATCATGCTATTCAGAACTTGCTGTAAAAACTGCTGCTATATTTGCTGGATGAAAAATTAGTGCATAAAAAGTGCATAAATTGTTTGCAAGAAACTGAAAAGAGATGGTATTCCCCCACGATATCCGTACATTGGAATCCCACCAGCACTGAGACGTCGCACAGTACATATAGTTATGCCCCTTGAATTTGGATGCGATGAAAATGACATCAACTTTACTTTTCAATTTGCAACGTAGACCGTGTCTGATTTTTATCACAACAAACTCTAAAATCGCTTAATTAAAATAAGGTTTAAACTGAAAACTTAGATTTTCATATTATTCTGAATATGCGTTTCTTATTTTGTTGAGTATATTATACTGACAAATCGACTTCTTATTAACTGTTATTATTAATCATTGACAGACTTGATGAATAGAAAATGACAAAATAACAGTATATCGATATGATACACAAGTATATCAAATGACCTGAACTATCCGCCATATTTAAATACACGGGTTACAAACATAACAGATAACGATGCCAAATTATACAAAATATACAAAATGCTTACCAATGACATTAAGCGTACATGATAATCAAACATTCATCAATCAATTTATGATAATAAACAAAAAATAGCAATGAAACTTACTCAATGAGAGGACAAGACAAACAAGATAATTGAAAACACGTTGTTCTCTTTCACTTGGGCGGAAACAAACAAAATATACTAAAATCTCAACCCGGGACGGCGGGGTCGACACTACAATAGGAATATAAATTTTGTCAAGCAGTGATTTTTGAGATTCAGTGATTGAATTCGAATTTGTGTTTGTCTTAAAAATACCTGTAAAATAAATTCTCTCACAATCATAATACTGGAATACAACTTACTTGTATCTAAATATTACACAGCTTGAATAAAACTTTTTAGTAGAATTTGAAATGTATTTGTTTATGAAGCAAAATGTTATATGAATTCAACGTGATTTCAACCAAATATCAACGTTTGTACAACCGAAAATTTTCAACCGAATCTCAACCCAATTTCAGCCAATGTTTACTTTTGTTCAATGTTGATATTTGACGTTGAAACAACGTTGAAGCTTCAACGTTGCCTCAACTTTCATTTGCAACCAAAAATCAACCATAAACCAAAATTTCAACCCATTCTGAACGTCTATTCAACGTTGAAAATTGACGTTGAAACAACCTTATGTCTGAACGTTGATTCAGCTTTCATATGCAACCAAAATTCAACGTTGAAATGCCTGCTGGGATACTTCCCGATAAATAAATACAAAGTATACAGTGGCAGATTTAAGGAAGGCGTACATGTGTGTGACCTCTCCCCTAAAAATTCAAAGTATGATATGAATAATATTAATATTGCCATACTTCAGTACAAAACCAATATTTTTGTGCCTAATTTTACTCTTTAAATACACAAAAACCCAAGAGCTTCAGGAGGCTTCGCCCCATGAGCTCCTTCATTCAAAGTATGATATGACTAATATTAATTATTTCATACTTTGGCACATAACTAATCAATTCCTACATGTTTGTGTCTGGTTTTACACTTAAAATGCACAAAACCCACGAGCTTCAGAGCTTCATTCCCTAGACCTCCTTCATTCAAAGTATGACATGACCAATATTAATGTCATACTTTGGTACATAATAACCAATACTACTACATGTATAATTGTCCTTGTTTTATTCTGAAAATATCCGAAAACCCAAGAGATTCTGGGGAATTTCCCTCGACCATTGCTTCGCCCAGGATCCACTTGGGGACTGAAGGCGGCCCCAGACCTCTTGCCTGAACAAAGATGTACACGCCCCCCTCCCCATCCTGAATCTGCCTATGGTATATAAATGATAAATTCCTTGGAAGACGGTATTGTATAGTTGAATTTTTTTTTTCAATCTTCGGACTATGCACTTCCTCTCTTTTGTGATTGGTAAAAATTGCATGATGAGAAAATTTTCAATTATTTCATTGGTTGAAATGCTGTTCAAGGCAAGGGAGATAACTTACTTATGATCTGTTTTTCGTACGACTTAACAGTTTTGCAAGATTTCAAATCAATCGTAACGACTCGGCCAATTCCGTGAACGATAAATAACCTCGTAAGCAGAGAGGAGAAAAACCTTCTTAAATTATTCGCCGGAAGTGATACCGCATATAGTTCCCCAACATGGAAGAAAGTCTCGAATTTGCTCGGAATAAGTTGGGAATTAATTTTTCGCTAAAGGAAAAGCAGTTGGAAACTCTAAGAAATTTATGGGAGCGACGGGATGTAATAAGTGTGTTACCAACTGGATATGGTAAAAGTGTCCTATACCAATAACTCCCGTGGTTTTTACAAGGCGAAAGAGAAAGAGTTGGGATCGTCATTGTCATTGCCCCCTTAACCTCGATTATTGTAGATCAAGTTTCTTTCCTTTCCTCTAAGGGGGTAAAGGCATTGTGCATGAATTTTGAAGGAACTGGGTGTCGTTCCGCGGATGATGAAGAAGAAACTGTCTCGAAGGTACATGTAACTTAACGAGGCTAGGGGGTGGCAGCCATTTTTAGACTATTTCAATCTCCTTTAAAAGGAGAGCTCCATATAAAGATATACAAAATGGTAAAATTTTAAAACTAAAATATATGAATTTTTTCTTTGCCAAATGATAGTTGACAGCTAAATATACCGTATATAAAAAAATAAGTTAAATCTGGTGGTTAATATGGGATTAAATTGTTGACCCGCCAGCCTCCTTAAATGTACATACAAATCGATCATATTTCATTGGCCCGATACATAGGGTGCTCTCGTTATTAAGTTTGTATTATAGGATATATCTATATATATATTTTAACAATTACACAGTTTCCCTATGGTCCGGTACAGTCACTAGAAAATAACACACACCCCTAAACATGATCATGATGATAAAGCTACAGCTGCATTGCAGTTGAACATGTTAAATGGTCTTAATGGAAGAACTTCAATTATACTGGGGAAGTATTGCATTAAAGTCAACACTACTAAATTTGTACTAATGAACTCACCAGGATCATTTATCTGCAGTCTTTTATACTTAATGAGAATGCATTTAAATTCAGGTCGTGGTGTATTGAAATGCTTCAACTAGCCTAATTATACCAGGTAGTATTATAACCACTATGAAGAAAAAAAATAAAAGTATTAAAAAATTATTTGTTGTTGTTTTCATTTAAAGCTGGTCACAAAAGACATGCAGCGTATCATAGATGGTGATGTCGAGATCCTTTACAGTCATCCAGAAGCAATTTTCTCTAAAAAGTTTGGTAGAATTCTGTAGTTTTTCAGGAGGGCGTCTGTTGTGTGACCATTGATGAGGTTCACATGATAGAGGAATGGTAAGGAAATACAGAAATATTCCATTAAAATATATAGGCCTATATCAGTCCCTCACATGATAAATGACTAAGGTAAAATAATTAAAAGGCAAAACATCTCGCATAACTCAAGGACAGTCCTTCATTACAATGATATGAATTACAGTATCTTGAATCCTAGCTACTCATCCACAGGCACTTGTTCCTTTATATCGAGCACCCCTACTTATTTTTACCAGAAGTAAAAATAAGTAGGGGTGCCCCATATACGAAACAAGTGCCTGTGCACTCATGGGTCATCCTCATTTAGGTGACCAAATACATGAAATAAAGCACAGTTAATCTTCCAAAGGTTGGCATGAGTTTTTCCTTGAATACTGAGTAAAATATCTTTACAGGGGAGAAGAATTCAGACCAAAGTTAAGAAACTTGGAGACCTAACTTGTTTGTTTCCATCTGCAGCACATTTATCACTGACAGCAACAGCGACTGAAACCTCAATAGAAAGTCTTGGAAAAGTGCTACAGTATATCAATCCAGTCATTATCAAAGCCAATCCCGACAGGCCAAATATTTTCTTGGAAAAGATTGTGCGATTTCCTAATATTAACAAAGTTAAAAAGTTGGACACAATTATTGAACCTCTGTGTGAAGAGCTCAAAGAGAAGAGGGAACATTTCCCTGTGACTATAGTTTACGTAGAGAATTTAGAATCATTGGGTTACTTTTATCAGTATGTGAATTCAGAATTAAGGGAGCATCAGTATGTAGGTGAACCAAATCCAGAAAACCGTAAAGATTATACAGAGGCCATGAAAAGCCATGTGATCACTGAGTTAAAAAAGGAAAACCCTATACTACGTTTAGTATTTGCAACAGTTGCACTCGGTATGGGTTTGGATGCCAGGTGCTTTACCAGGATCATCCATTGCAGACCCCCTACAACACTTGAACAAGAGGCCCACGGGCCTTATAGGTCACCTGAGTATCATGTAACAACTTTCCA